CAATAATTATTACCTTTATTAACGTAAATGATGTATTGCAGGTTCATCCTCAACAAATGAATGATGAAGAACTTGGTGCAATCAAGAAGAGTATTGTTGATCTGTTTCTTGAAGGTGCAGGAAAGCCATTAGGAGTCACTTCAATATTCTTCCAAGCATATGGCCAGAAGTGAGTTTATTGTTTATCGAACTGTCAAAAACTGATTGGTGATTCAGTTTGATAATGAATATAGAAAATGTGTTCATGTTAGATTAGAATATACCTTAAGATCTGGCATCTTTGTTGACACCCATAAGAAAGTGTGATATAACCAGACCTCTTTAATTTACCAGAGAGCGAGGAGTTGAAGAGAAGTATGAACATCTCTGGGGAGAACAGTTCATCACAGAGACCATCCTTGGGAAGAAGTTCCGTGTGTCACCTGATGCTTTTTTGCAGGTAAGTCTTTTTGTCACCTGAAGCTTTTTTGCAGGTATGTCTTTAAGTATTAAATAAGTTTTTAACCATATGTATAAAGATATACTGTGTTATCCAAGAGTTTTCATATCAGTTACTATTTTATACTAAACTATTTATTTACCTATTTTGTGTTGTTTAATGGTTGAGCTTATATTAGGGTACTTATCCATTTGTGACCTGTGTATATAAAAAGATTTATACAATAGACAGCATTATCAAATACAGGAAAAAATATGGCAATTATGCAGTATCTATGTATTACACATTTTTAGGCCATGAGATTGCTGGCATCCATATTGTAAATTGATGATGATATTCTGTGGTTTTAGTAAATACTGCCAAGCTTTTATGACATAGTATTACACTGATTTAGTTATGAAACTCATTTACTTAGATTTTTTTCATAAAATCATTTGTCATTTAGGTAAATACAGCTGCTGGAGAAGTACTCTATGAGACCATTGGCAATGTAGCAGCCCTAGATGGCACCTCAGTGTTACTTGATGTTTGCTGTGGCACTGGAACAATTGGCATTTCACTAGCTGAGGTAAGTCTTATTTCTGTTCATCAAATCGTGTGGTGTATGGTTTTAACATTTGGCATCTTGTAAAGATTCAGACAGTACATGATAATGTACTATGTTCAGGAGATTTGTTAGATTTGATGTTCTTGATGTAGTTTATCAGAAATTTCCATAACCAGATCTTATTTTATTTTTTCAGCGGTGCTTGAAAGTATATGGAGTAGAATTGGTGAAGAAAGCTGCAGAGGATGCAAGGTTTAATGCTGAAAATAATGACATCAAGAATGTTGTTATATATGAAGGGAAAGCAGAAGATCATGTAAAGACAATGGTAGAAAATTGTGAGCAGTATGACACCATTGGTGTTGTTGACCCACCGCGTGCAGGACTACGTAAGTAATGATTAAGTTTCGCTACTCAGGTACATCTCTGGTCCCAGAGCTATCTTAGATTGATCAGCCTTCTCTTTTGGTTACATTTTTGTTGCACCTCAGTAGGCGAGGTGCAAGTAACAACATAGCAACAAAACCTATTCCATGTTTTCTCTATTTTGTGTGGAATTTTGAGGAAAAATGTGCATCATAACATTATTCCCCCAAGAGGTTTGAGAACTTGCAGTGAGTCTTTAATGTCACCCTGGCCTTCAGTTGAAATGCTCATGACAACAAATTTGCGTCACCTGGTTTGCGTCCCATGGCAGCATGTTCATGTCACCTGCCCCTCAAGCCAGATTTTTTCATGACATGATAGTCATGTCATCCAGATTGAAGAGGTTAATATGTTTTGACACCCAGATGTAAGAAGTTAATTGTGAAACTATGTAATGGAAAATACAAGAGATTAAGATGCTTTACTTTTCTGACAGATGGGAATGTGGTCTGTGGCCTTCGTCGCTGTGAGAACATGAAACGCCTTGTGTATGTGTCTTGTGATCCAGCCAATGCATGTAAGAACTTTATCAACTTAGCCAGAGGGAAGAGCAAACAGTACAAAGGAGACTTCTTCATACCAATAAGGTATGGAACTTGGGTACTTCAAAATTCTTCTCTTCTTATTTATTTATATATTTATTTCATTATTTACATTAATTCTGTTGTTGGTGTTGTCTGTACTAATTCATGTGTCTGAATGTACTTCTTATTGCATTGCAGGGCAGTTCCCATTGACCTATTCCCCCACACACCTCACTTTGAGCTGGTTATTCTCTTTGAGCGATGGGATGAGTTGAAGTGGCGACGCATCATGGAAGGTAAGATAGATGTATTTTTGTGGCAAGTTCTAGACAGAGAGATGTTTACTGCAGTTTCTAGTACAATGTTTGTTATGTTCACTGGTTTATGAAGATTTTGTAAACTGGTTAATAGTTAAACTTCTTTTGCAGGTGATCCCCTACCCCGTGATGCTGAGTACTTCAAGCGCATTCCTTCTATTCATTATGATGCTAAAAAAGCTGACAGGGAAGGGAAGGTGAGTTACATATGGTTTATATATATCTATATGTTGTTTAGTTTTACAAGGTAAAACTATACCTTGTAAGATTTCATTCATTTCAGGGAAGCTACAGAAATTAGTTTTACAGATAAAAGTTTTTCAGCTTGATTTTTTTTTTATTTTCAGGATTTTTTCAGTGAGATAGTCTAGTTTCTGGAATGTTAGAAATTCAAAGCAGAGTAAAACTAAATTTGTTACCCATTTATACCTTTTTTTTTTTAATGATGATATATTTTTCATGTATAGGAAGGATTTGCTTTTTCTTCCCATCTGTATTTCATTGTTATTTCAAGAGTATCCCTCAATTGATGGTATTCTGATTGTTCGCCCCTAGAGATAATCACTTGTTTTTAAAGTATCATTTTTTCTTATACTATCAGCATTGCATATGATATCTGTTGTTATACATTGTGACAAAATTATGCCCATGGCCATTCTGTAAAGGTTAGAACTTACGGGTTTTGAGTTTTTAAGTGAAAGACTTTGTGACACTTATTCATCAGTAAGGTGTAAGTGGGAATGGATAATTTTAAAAAGTCAAATAATCAACATAAGATTTAATACTGGTCCATTATCTCAAAAGGAAAAATGGAATTTAGAAAATTTCATGAGAAATCTTCCTGGGCCAGTGACCATGGGTAGCAGTATGCGATCCATGGCCAGTCTGTTACAAAAAGCACTGACAGATTAGGGTCAAAGGATAGTCTGGCTCATTGCCATGATGTCAACAAGATTATCATTGAATGTAGTGGGTTACGTTTGCATAGCATTAGTGCCCTTTACATTTTAAGTCTATAACTATATTTGAAGAAAGTAGAGCACTCTTGAGCTGTGAAAAAATGCTGCTAAGGATATTCTGAGAAGGAAGTTGCATCTGTAATTCTTAGCAGTTTGAATTAATATTTTAAAGGTGATATATTTACACTGAAAAGAGGGAGAACCAGAAGCAGAACTACAGCTAGAATGAGTGGAGAGGAAGGACTGAGAGAGAGAGAAATTGAAAGAAAAGGAGAGAGAAAGAGAAAGAGCAAGAGAGGGAGAGAGAGGAGAGAGAGAGGAGAGAGAAGTGAGAGAAAGAGAGAGGGAGAGGAGTGAGAGAAAGAGAGGGGGAGAGAAGTGAGAGAAAGAGAGGAGAGAGAGTGAGAGAAAGAGAGGGGAAGAGAGAATGAGAGAAAGAGACGGATA